CCTCAAACTCGCTCAAACTTTTCGAAGGAGGAAGAACTTCTTCTTCTGGAAGAAATTTATAAATATCGGGGGATATTAGAAAACAAAACTACAAACAACGTGACCGCGTCAGAGAAAGTAAGTAACAGTTTTGCAGTAACTTGTAAAATAATATTAAACGACAATTAATTCTTGCAAGAATGAAAAATGGAATGAGGTATTTAAAGCCTTTAACAGCAAAAATAATCAGCACCGAAGCTTGGATCAACTGAAATCGAAGTTCGATAATCTAAAAACAAAGACAAGAAAATGGGCTGCTACTCAGAAGTCACATCCGAAAAAAACCGGTGGAGGTCCACCATTGGATTCCCCGAAGGATCCTGTTTTAGAGGCAGTACTAGCCATTGTTAATATAAAAACAGTGGTTGGTTTGTCATCAATTGGTGATGACGACTTTGTTCCAGTAGGTTCACTTGTCAAGTAATCGCGTTTTTTTTTAATTATATGTATATTTTAGGACTCCATCGCAGATGTCCACTTGGAAGAAGTTCACGATGGAATTTCATTACCGATGACGTATGAATTAGTAAGTTTTGCTATTATTGATAATTATCGAATTGCGATTTCCACAACTTCATATATATGTTACAGCTAATATCCGAAATCCGTTATTATGCATAATAACTAGATATTTTAGGAATTATGCGTAATAACTAAACTTGTCAGTTATTATGCATAATAACCGGAAAGATTAGGAATTATGCGTAATAACTGAAATTTTCAGTTATTATGCATAATAACGTAAATGTTTCGGTAATACTGATAATAACTAATAGAGGAACAGGAATTGTGCATAATATTTTCAAAAAAGCTACCCACCCTGCCTCGCTTTCCTCTACATATCACATGTACAGATGATTTAAAAAAAAAAAATGGTCTAAAGAGTTTAGACAGTACTTCCCTCGCTGTCGGAAACGTGACGACTGCATGCCTGTTATGTTTTCTTCGTATTACATTTTGGTAGCGGGACATTTTAAAATAAAAATTGAGTAAGTATTAATTTTTTCAATTTTATCATTATTTGCCATTGACATCTTTGTCATTTTTTTTGTGATTCCTATGATTGCTTATTAAAAACGATGTTTTCTCTGGGGTGTATAATATGTCGCCTATGCAAAAATTGTCAGGCGTGAACAGATAAAAGGAACATCCTGTATAGTACTTGTAATTTAAGACAAATAGCCATAACACTTGTCAACCTGTAGACGTGACGGTGAAACATAAACTAAACTAAAACATGTTTTCCACGAATTGGAATAACCGGATGACAATGCCGACGGACCAGACTTTTTTATTGCTCTGATTTCCGTTTATTGAAAAAAACACTACATTTTATTCGGTTTTTGGATGCTATAATTCACATTTGGTTAATTATAACTTGTCTAGATTTAGGGGAGCATCCCCTAACCTCCCCCTAGCAACGGCCTTGTCTAGGGGTTATGAAATGTCGAGAAAATTTGAAAGTAACAAATTGCCCAATGGACTCCATTACTGGACGTCCTTAGGTTATCCTTGATAAGAAAAACAACTTGAAAGTGTTTATGTTCATGCATCGAAAAAATGTCACGTAGAAATTAGTTTGATTTGAATGTTTCTTCATAGTTCGTCCCCTCAAAACAGAGGATGAAAACAATTATCTAGTAAGCTACAATCGACATAATTTTGGGTAGAATTTATTCGGCAAAATTTTGAGATAACGTCATCAATTTTGTGGGGGAATTAAACAGATTTATTTTGATTAATAATTTGCCAAGTATGTAGTATTTCAAAGTATTCAGTTTTGTAATTCTTGATTTAATCCATAAAATTAATTGACTGAGACACCCCGCATAAGCAAATCTAAAAAATATTAATGCAGTGATAAATCACAAGTATAGATTCATCATTCTTTACACCTTTAGGATAGGATTTGTTCGGTAAAATTTTAAGGTGACGTCATCAATTTTAGAAAGCAAATATATTTTGATTAAAAATCTTACCATACTTATGATAAATTTAAAACATCTCCAAAATTTCAAAATAATCGGTTTAGTATATGCAAATCCAAAAAATATGAATGGAATGATAAATCACAAATACAGACTCATCATATTTTGCACATTTGAAATAGGATTTATTCAGCAAAATTTTCAGGTGACGTCATAAATTTTTTAGGGGGGAGGAGCAAATACATTTTGACTAAAAATTTACAATGCCTATGATAACTTTAAAATATCTTCAAGATTTCAAAGCATTCGGTTTTGTAGTTCCTGATTAAATCAATAAAATAAATTCACGCATTCATTAATTTTTTGAGTCACCCTATATATGCAAATCAAAAAAATATGAATGGAATGATAAATCACAAGTACAGACTCTTCATAGTTTGTACATTTTAGATAGGATTTATTTGGCAAACTTTTGAGCTGACGTCATCAATTTTTTGGAGGGGACAAGTAAATATATTTTGACTAAAAATTTACCATGCTTATCATAATTGTAAACCACCTGCAAGATTTCAAAGCATTCGGTTTTGCAGATTTAAAATTTAATTGCAAAATGTTGCTTTATAATTTTGATTTTTTTTCCAAAAATCCGGACGTTTCCGGTAAAAACTCAATTCGGAGACGTAAACTACATGTGTAGGACTATGTTATTTTATACAATTTAAAACCCATTTACTGAAAGTTTCAGTTATTACGCATAATTCCTAATCTTTCCGGTTATTATGCATAATAACTGACAGGTTTAGTTATTACGCATAATTCCTAAAGTGTCTAGTTATTATGCATAATAACGTATTTCGGATATTAGCTGTAACATATACATATTTTAGGATTTGAACTTGCCTGAAGCAACCACATCTATAAGTTGCAGTAACAAGGCTGCAAATATGCAGATTGTAAGTTACCAATTTCATATTTCTTACTATCAATACATGATGCATTATGTCGGAATATACAGGGTGCCGCACCCAAGTCTGGATATAGGGAATTAACATGGCAATTGGTTTTTATTTTATAATATCTCCCCAGATCACTTTAAAGCTATTATTGAGTGATGGCTTTGTGGAGGTCGAAGAGGGCTATCGACCAGTATTTTTTTCAAATCGTTGCATCGCGCTCATTTACTGTAAAAAGGTTTTAAAAATCGTATTTTGAAATTCGCGCCCGATCCGAGTTGTCGCGAAATGTTCCGTCGCACTGTCGAAGTTCGGCGATCGCGTCTTCAGATTAGCCATGCAAAATCCAAATGTCAAAGTGAAATTAGAAATTATTCTCAGAAATCAACGAACAACTCAAACTGATTTATTTTATCCGGTGTGATGATTATTGTAGGACATATTAAACGGAATAAATGCACAAATTGATCCATTCATTCGTCATAGTACGCGACCCCGTCAAACGATTCATCTCGAACTACATTCAGGCCGTATCCAAAAAGCCCGAGATGAAGACTTCGAACAGCTGGGATTAGATGAAAAAGCGAGGGCCTGCTTGTTCTTCGACGGTTAATTTAATTAGTAGGTAATTTGGATAAATTTCACACTTTTTTTTGAATCACCAAAGATTGGAAGTCAATTGATTTTACATTCGTTAAGCAGGGATGGAATTTTTGCCGCATGGAAACATGTTCGTTACAAGAAATTTTTGAGAGAGAAATCTAGAACATTCACTCATCAACATTTTAAAATATTTTTCTGTATTACGAATGTGTTTTGGGATTCAGAAACTTTTGTATTACTGTTTTATTTGTTTATTGTGTTAACAACAACAAAAATAAAAATAATATTTCACAAAACAAAGTTACATTTATTTTCAAATATAATAAAAATTACATAAAATCAGGTGGTGTTAACAGGTGCATGTTTGGCGCCACAATTTGAATTATGCATTTAAGAACTTTTACTAATTTGTAACTGTTGTAAGGGATGCCGTGTCATTGGCACCAATCAGATTATCTCAAGCTCTTGTACGATCCGTGGTAGAAACAATTCACTGGCTCTGATTCTTATCAGGTGGGCACGACGTCTTTTAGGGATCTTAAACAGATGGGATAGAAGAGTTTCAAAAAGCATCATGACAAAAAATTAAAGCCTGAGGACTACTCACATATGGAGTTTTACGAAGGAACGCTTGAGAAAATCTAGGCTGATGGAGAGTTTTTGAGGAACATTTGTTTTACTGACGAATGTTCATTTGGTCTTAAGGGAAGTTATAATCGTCAGAACGATCAAATTTGAGCAATACACAATCCTCACGTGGTCGATGACCATCGTTATCAATGGCGTGCAACTGTCAATGTGTGACTGGGGCTTCTAGGACATCATGTCATTGCACCTTTTTTCATCGAATCTGGATTGAATGCTCAGAAGTAGGACAATATCAGCAAATAGTTCCTAGGATTCGAAGGGTGCGGCATCTGCAGCAGATCTTTTACATGCAGGATCAAATCTCCAGCCATACAACTCGCACAAATGTTGTTTATTTGAACCAGTATTTTCCCGCAATATTGGAATGGAAAGTTTTCACTGCCCCATTGGCTTGTGCATTCGCCAGATCTAAACCCCTGGCAATTTGTTCTTTGGAGATTTCTTCACGAGCATCTGTATTCGAACAATACGAGCTATACAAACAGAGACGCGCTGAAACAAGCAATCCAGCAATATTGTCTTCAGATTTCAACTCAAATGCTAATCAACACGCGTAGGAGTTTTGAAGATTGGCATACTTACTGTACGGCTGCTGAGAGCAGTCTTTGAGCAATTCTTGAAAATAGTGCAATACTTCTCCAGATTCGTACAATATTTCATTACTTCATTCATCAACAATTGTTAAGTTTTGTTATTTGTAGTTATCTAAATGGTTCATTAAAAGGTTCTCTTCAAAAGCGCCAGCTCTCAATAGCAGTAGAACATGGCATTTTAATGAGATTTTGTAATAAAGACTCGACCAGCACCACCAACATAACCTAATAAAATATTTTGTGCAGTTTGTGCATTTATTCCGTTTAAATTGACCTACAATAATAATCGTTATATTGGATAAAATAATTCAATTTGAGTCGTTCAGTGATTACTGAGTGAGGCAGCGCGAGTACATCCCTAGCTTCTTCTTCTTCGTCTTTTCGGTACGAATGTACATTCCTAGCTTGAAGGGCTCCCAGGACATGTCAGAATGCTGTCGATGGGGTTTACAGGAAGACCAGCTACTCGAAGTCTTCATCTCGGGCTTTTTGGATACAGCCTGAGTGTAGTTCGAGATGAATCGTTTGACGGGTTCGCGCACTATGACGAATGAATGGATCAATTTGTGCATTTATTCCGTTTAATTTGTCCTACAATAATCATCACACCGGATAAAATAAATCAGTTTGAGTTCTTCGTTGATTTCTGAGAATAATTTCTAATTTCACTTTGACATTTGCATTTTGCATGGCTAATCTGAAGACGCGATCGCCGAACTTCGACAGTGCGACGGAACATTTCGCGACAACTCGGATCGGGCGCGAATTTCAAAATACGATTTTTAAAACCTTTTTACAGTAAATGAACGCGATGCAACGATTTGAAAAAAATACTGGCCGATAGCCCTCTTCGACCTCCACAAAGGCATCACTCAGTAATAGCTTTAAAGTGATCTGGGGAGATATTATAAAATAAAAACCAACTTGCCATGTTAATTCCCTATGTCCAGACTTGGATGCGGCACCCTGTATATTACAGCCTGAAGAAACAAGTGCCACCATGCGTTTTAACGAGAATATGGATAGTGACGAATCTAACATGGAAGACCAAAGTCTGATTCCAGCAGTTGTGCCCACTGTCAAAAAGGCAGTTCAAAAAACAATTGCCAGAAAACAACCTGAAGAAAATGTAAGATATAGTTGTATCTGCTGTACAGTAGTAAATATTTGATTTTAGTGGAATAACTATAACTCGAGAAAAATGAAAACCCCAATACACAAGCGACTTCGACCAAAAATAACAAATCCAACTTTCACGGCCAAAGAGCTGTATTACAAGAGAAAGGCAGAAATCAAAGGGAAGAAGAGGAACATAAAATGAAAATGTTGCTATTAGAGAGACAATTAAATAAATGTAATGATTAATATAAATATATATTTTGTTTTTATAACCGAGCAAAGTGATTATTTATAATTAATTGTCTTATCTGTCTGCCGTTATGTTGTCTTCTGGCTTCATGTGGTAGGTGATTTCTTCGTGATTTTCTTCAAATATGTCATCAGCAAACCATTCTTCTGGAAAGTGGTCATTCATGTCAACAGCTATATTGTGAAGAACTGCAGTTGCAACAATTACTGTTCTAGCTGTATCTAATTTTAACCTAATTCCCGCAGACAATACGGCAAAACGTCGTTTCCAAACACCATATTGGCGTTCGACAACATTTCTGGTCCGAATAATACTTTTTTATACAAATTCTCCGCAGAAGTATGAGTTTCCTGCAAATTAGTCATAAGATACTACAAAATAGGATATCCACTATCTCCTATCAACATATATCGACCATATCTTCCACTTTCAAAGCTATGTTTTAAACGACTGTTATTAAAAATTGTTGTATCATGGGCCGAGCCTGGCCATCTGCATACGATATTGCGGATTTTTAAACTTGCATCAGAAACCGTTTGCACAGTTAATGCAAAATATCCTTTTCTACATCTATATATATCTCTGCATCTGCACCACCTGGAGATTGTATTCGTATAAGTGTGCAATCAATTGCTCCAATCACTCTTGGAAAACTAGCCAGGTCATAAAACTGTTCAGCAGATCTTTGCATTTCAGCTTGATTTTCATACATTTTAATGTAGCGAGGACGTAAGGTAACCAAAGGTTCTGACACTCTTTTAATTATGCGACTTGCTGATGATTTGGATACTCCCATAAAGTCTCCCATTGCAATTAACATACTACCAGTGGCAAAAAAACGTAGAGTCAGCAGCAATTGGGTGATTGGCTTTATACGTCCACCTCTAAAAAAAAATTGTTAAACAGTAAGCATCTTCGATATGTTAATAATAAAAAGTAAATTACATACTAATTACTTAAAAGTGGTTGTATTTATATAGTTTACCTGTTTGTTGGTCATTTTATCAAATTCTCAATTTGACGTAACACGGATTGAGTTATACGTTTCGTTAAGCGGAATCGTTCGAAGAAATCAACGTCGTCATACTCTTCAAATCTATCGTTTCTTCTTCTGTATAATTTTGTTCTTCGTAAATATATTTCAGGTTCTTCATCCGACGAACTTGAACTTGATGATGACGATAGGTGGCGATTCACACGGTGATTCATATGATCCATATCAAAAAATTCACTTTTAAGTTAAATCTAATAACTGCTTTGATTTGTCTTAAAAATTGAGATTATGTGTCACTTAAAGCACCGAATTCGGGCCTTTCAGTTAAAGGAGCTTCAAAGGTAATTTAAAGTCTGCTTTAACATTATGGGAGGGATTTTTTGCTTAACGGCCACCTTTTTGAATTGAATACTAGCCAATTGCGAGGGCACGTTTACAAATTAAAAAAGCAATCATTTAGAACTATTGTTCGAAGGTTTTTCTTTCCTAACAGGGTGTTTGATGAATGGAATAATTTGCATAGTGAAATCGTAAATGTGACAAGTGTTAATATGTTTAAGAACAAATTGGATCAGTAACTCTACTTAGGGAAATCTATTTGAAGGAGCATAATAGGTCTCTGACCTCTGCTCCATTTTTTCTAATAATAATAATAATATATATATATTGTGACAATTTCCTTTTTTTTTTTTATTTTATGAACTAACCATTTGATTTAGACATATAACTTTAATATTTATACGTTAAGCAATGAATAAACTACATTATAATATATTTTTTGTTCAGATTAATAGCATAATTACAAAATTATTTGCGATCATATGAAAATTGTCACAACCGTACCCAGTCTACCCTACTGCGAAAACTGAAAATATTATGCAAGAGGAAACCTTGTAAACATTGTCTTCTCAAGAACAACCAACAAGTTCTGGTAAATTTCTAGGAGAGGTGGATGTGGGAACTTACGTCAATCAAGAAATCGGTGATCTAGAAAAATACAATATTTTAAAAAATGCATTTGTTCCCGATAGACTTTAATTTTCCATTTTCAATTCATTATAAAAACGACAAAGAGATTAAGTGTTTTTTCTCAGTAAAACATCTCAATTCTTTTAACTGGTTAACATATTCTCGAAATTTGAAAAGTGTTTTTTGTAAATTTTGCATTTTATTTGCTAAACATGGTGGTGTGCACAAAAATACGCCTCTTAATAAATTTGTGGTGAAGCCTCTTCAAAAATATTCCTAGGGAACTCCAGGCAGCCACGGGACTACCCCCAATCAAAAACTACATAAGGGAGCGCACCAAGAAATTCTTCACCACCAACAGGAGAAACGAGTTCATCCGTCGCATCCGTGAGGAGAAGCTGGACGTCGTGCGCCATAAAGGGTTATTGCTCAATTAAAAATCGCATAGTAATATCTTAAAAATCGCATAGTAATATCTTAAATGAAATACTTAAGTTAAAACAATGAAATGTATGGGACAACAATAAAGAGTGCTCTCAGTCGGTCCCAAATTATACTAACATTACCTTTGCGTATTGTGCAAACGGTAATGTTAAATGTACATAGCTTGCAAATAACACCCCCACCCCCCAAATGAACAAAAATAAGGTTTTGGAAATTTTCCCCTAATCAGAAAATCAAGCAAACGCCTAGGAATAGAGGCAACACCCTCTATAGAATAATTAGATACAACTAGGGCCATCTATGGCCACTGTTCCCGAATATAAATTAGCAGGGTTAGGCACCATGCAGGTACCTGCAACTAGATTAATTAAATAAGTAGGTTAAGTCCACTATGTATGAAACAAATTATTTTAAAAAAACTCTTTTCTATTCTATACTTCAAAAATATTCCAAACTTTTTGGAAAATGTGGTGACTTAATAACGCACGAGAAAAGTAATTATCACAACAAAGCAATGGTTAACGCTTTAAATTTCATTCGCACATACGAACATCCTGAAATGGAAATAGTAAATATTTTAGATAAACAACATCTTGAACAACTAAAAGAAAACAAGGAAAAAATCAAAGCTATAATAAATTCTGTGACATATTTGGGAAAACAAAATATTGCTTTACGTGGTCATCGTACCGAAGCGGAACTAATAGAATCTTCAAGCATTAATGAAGGGAATCTTAGAGAGCTTATCAGGTATAGAATTGAAACTTGCGGAGATGACTTAAAGCTAAAACATCACTTTCAATCTGCTTCAGCTCGGACTAAGTATATTAGTCCATCAATTCAAAATGAAATAATCACTTGTTGTGGAGATGAAATTCTTAGCGGCATTGTTGAAAGCGCAAAGAAAAGTAAATTTTACAGTATAATTTTTGACGAAACTACCGACATCAGTACTACTTCACAAATGTCTATTGTACTGCGTTATTTAGATGATGCTATAAATATTAAAGAAGATTTTATTGGTTTTCTTGATTGTCATAAGGGAAATTATGACGATTTTACACATGAACCTGTTCTTACAGGACAAATATTAGGGCAAAGTGTTGTTAATTTCATTAAAAAAATCGGTTTGCCAATGTAAAATTGCATAGGAATTGGTACCGGCACATCTTCTGTAATGTTATCTGATCAAAAAGGTGCTGTTTCGGAGATACAAAAAACAATAAAAAATGCAATTAAATGTCCATGCTATAGTCATTCTTTAAATATTTCTATATCAAAAAGTAGCAATATTCAAGATAAAAGACAATGATTCTTCGTCGAAAGCTGAAAGATTAACATATTCGCTCCTTACGACCAATTTTATTATGTCTCTTTTTTGCTTGTCGTATTTTCTTGGTTTAACAATCAATTTAAGTACGCTATTACAAAAAAAGTCAGTAGATAAAAATTTTGCAAAGTCATTAGTCGAAGAGATTACAGCATTTTGAGGACATTTTCAGTGAAGTAGAAGAAATCCATGAGAAACTAAACATTCCTTTAGTAATTCCTCGTATTAATACTAGACAAACACACAACATAGCCTGCAACATAAGGCTATAAATATGAAGCACAGACTTCGTAATGCTGAAAAAGCTGCAAACTGCGTAAATTTAACGAATGTCCTTAATTCTGTAAATAAAGCCAGCTACATGTTCATTGTGCAGCACGTTAGGACGCAACATCTAAAACCACAAGAAAGGAGATTTACCTTGAATGAGAAGATATTAGCTTTGTCTTTGTTGAAAAGCAGTGCTAAAGCGTATAGATTTTTATCAATCATATTTTTTTTATTTATTTAACAGTTGTATAGTAACAACACAAAGTAGTCTCAATGCATTAAAATTTACAAAAATAGACAAAATTCATTCACGACCAAAATTTTTAGCAACAAAACACTTTTCTGCAGTGGAATATTCTTCAATAAGAAGAAGACGAAGCCAGTGTTCTTCGAAACATGTACCTTGTTTTTTATTAAATAGCTTACAACTTTTATCTGTGGAGTACAAACATTATTCAAATACCTGTGACCAAGCGAGTTTCAGGTCCCTCGACAAGTTCCTCATCGTCACCTTCACAGGTGGGAGATTCACATTCAAAAAAAGCACTAGCTCATTCAAGATTATCAGTAGAAAAGGAAAGTCGACGAAAGAGTGTGTAACTCCTTGGAACACATAAGTAGGATGTTGTCAAAACCAGATAAGAGGACCATGCAACTTGACATAGACGCTTTTTGCCGTTATTTGGGAACGGAAATGGAGAAGCTTCCTGAAGCCGTTTTCCAAGACTTTAAGGACGATGTCTTGTCCCTGTTACTAGAAGCTAGGAAGAAAATGCGAACTAAATTATTTAAATTTTTATTTATCACAAATTACCTTATTTGATTTGCGGTTGCATCCGACTGACTTGACTCAATCGGATATTTTAAGCTGATATTAACGAGGATGATTGAAAATTATCCGGATTGAAAGTGTTAAATGCAAGCCCAAAACATATTGCGCAATGAATGGAACGCATCCGAGTTTGCACAGTGATGTAAGCCGCTTTCCATTTATCTGATCGAGCTGCTCCAAGTA